AACGACATGCAGTCAGTCGGCAAGAAGTCAGCAGTAATCGAGTAAATCTGTATGCCTTATGGGTCCGCATTTTTCGAAAGGATTACTTTCTTTCTTCGGTCATTGGGACTCAGCTTCAGATTAAACCAATTTGTGCTATCACACCACATTCATTTGTTTGTCCGGCACCAGATTTCCCCAGGGACACATGCACGGCATTCAATCTCTCTGAAATGGTTAGGAAGTTGGACGTCCTGCTTGTAATTAAGTGGCGCAGGTCGTGCCAAAAACGTTCAATCGGCATCAATGCAAAATATTACTGATCGCCGACTGCCAACCCCATCGCTGCGTTGACGTTCACTGAGAGGAACACCATTGCATCCGGCCGGCGGAAGTTGTTACTTTTCACGCGCAGCGAAACAGAATGACAAGGCGCCATCACTGATAACACTTTGACGTGGGTCGTTTTTCAGTACACGGCATAGAAATTCGTGTTGACATTGTGGTTGGAATTGTGTTAAGGAATGCTAAAAGCTGCAACCTTTCAGCTGTCTCGCTACAATTATTAAGTTTCACACGATTTATATTTGTGTCAACACAAAAAATACAAATGTAGATATAAAGTCAACGATATCTCGGAATGGAAATAAATATAGATTATCACGTACGGAAAACCTAACATTGTAATAATTGTAATGGTTATTTATCGGAAAAAAAGTATATTTAGTTACTTTTTTTTTTAGATATGATGGTAACAAATAAAAAACGACAGTTAAATAGTAAAAGAGAAAAAAAAATGGCTCGATGTTTCCTATGATTTAAAGGAAAACTATTTAAAATTCCCAATATAAATCACATGTATCAAAATATTATTAATCTTAGATGTTCGTGCCTGCAAAATATGTAGTTTTAAAAGGAGACATGTTCCTTTGAAACAGCTATTGTTTTAAATTTCACTCCTCGGCAATGATTATTATTTTAAAACGATTAGAAGTTTAATTAAAACAAAAGAAAAGTATTTATAAATTTTCTTTATTCTTGAAAAAACAAAAATATTAAACACTATTTGTTTATTAGATTTTTTATTAGAATGGTTGAAAACACATGGGCTAATATCCAATCGATTCGAACTTCCTAAATTGAGAAATAATGATTTCATTATAGTTTTTTCACATATTTTTATAATTTTGCAACTGTTTATAAATTTATGAAAAAAAATTGTATTCATATGTATGTCTTTACAAATTGGTGAATGATAAATATTAAATTTTATTAGTTTTAAAATACAGTTGTATGAACTTTCGAATGCTGTAAATATAAAATTATTATTAAAAATAAGAAATACATTAAATCTACTGAGAAAGTCGTTTCACTATGTTCGACGAAACAATTATTCTCTCCAGAATCTGTCTTATATATCTATAAGTCTACCATTCGTCTATGTCAAGAATATTGCTGCCACATATGGTCCGGTGATCCTGCTATTTATCTTGAACTCTTTGATAAGACCCAAGGAAGTATCAGTATTATTATTGCTCCTGATCTGTCGGCTCGGCTCCAGTTACTCTCCCACCGCTGCAAGGTCACCTCTCTATGTCTTTTCAATAAATACATTAATCGGATGCTGTATTCGCTATTCTACCTAGTGTTTTTTGAATTCGTGCGCATCACTAGATTAGCTTCGCAATCGTATCAAATCCCAGTTAAGTTGTCTAGATCTAGCTGTAAAGTATAAACTAACAGTTCCTCCTCATGAAATTCACTCTTATAGAATTTCCGGTTCCATACTTTCATCCAACTTTAATCTTCAAAAATTTAAATCGCTAATGTCCAGATAGTTACTCTCTTCTGTTTCTTCTCGTCATAAATGTTTCTGTTCCTAATTCTTCCACACGCTCTTATATTTTTGTTATAAATTCTCAAGAACAAAGGAATATGTATAAATTCACTTCCATCATGTTTTACTACAATTCTCATATGAAGCAGAGATGATAGGGCTGTAAAATCTAACATGCATTAATTCCAAACATGTTTTTTAATAACCGTATTTTTTAACAGATAAACAAACATCTGACTGTTCAAAAAAGATTTCCAATGTAACTAGTTCCGAATTCTCTTGAAAACGGTAAAATTTTGTTATAATGTATCTACGGAAAAAGGAATTAAACCACATGACATTCATGCTGAAATGATTATTACTTTAGGGGATAACTTTCCCGCTTTGTCAACAGTGCAAATATGGGCAGCTGAATGCCGTAGTGAAAGAGTAACTCTTAAAATGACCAAAGTTTTGGCTATTCTGCAGCTGCAAACACCAAGGAAAACATTGATCATGTTTACCAGAAACAATGACAGGTTTGTAAAGAACATCGGAAATGAAGAATTCGACGTTGCTTGTAAGAAGATGGAATCAATGCTACTGCTTGAAATTCGAGCTGTAAGCTGAAGGTTTCAAATTAATGCGAGAACAAAAATCTCTCTGCAAAAGGTTCTATTAAATGACAAAACATATTACATCGAAATGGGAAGGCTCAATGGAATAGACCCCTTCCAAATAAAATGATGCATTCTAAATGAAGTGATGCATTCTAATGAAATGTGCCTTTCATATGAAATGATGCCTTCCAAAATAAATGATGCCTTCCAATGAAATGATGCTTTCTAAACGAAATGATGCTTTCTAAACGAAATGATGCCTTCGAAATGAAATGATGCATTCGAAATGAAATGATGCATTCTATATGAAATGATGCATTCCGACGAAAGGAAGCCTTACAATTAAATACCTTCTAACGAAATGATGCCTTCGACATGAAATTATGCCATCAAATGAAATGATGAATTCTGTATGAAAGGATGTCTTCTAAAGAAATGATGCTTTCTAAACGAAATGATGTTTTCCATATGAAATATTGTCTTCCATACAAAAATTACGCCTAGAAAATGAACTGATGCTTTCTAAATGTAATGAAGTATTAAAAATAAATTGATACATTCCATGTGAATTGATGCCTTCTAAATGAAATGATGCCTTTAAATTTAATTGATGCCTTCGAAATGAAATAATGCATTCCATATGATATGACGCCTTCCAATGAAAGAAAGTCTTCCAAATGAAATAATGTCTTCTAATGAAATGATGCATTCTACATGAAATTATGCCTTTAAAATGAAATGATGCATTCTATTTATATTGTCTTCCATATAAAAATAATACCTACAAAATGAAATGATGCTTTCTAAATGAAATGATACCTTCAAAATGAATTGATGCCTTCTAAATGAAATGATGCCTTCCATATAAAAATGATGCGTTCCCTATGAAATAATGCCTTTTAAATACTGACTAAATTATGAAGAAACTAGAAAATAAGTGTTATATAATATCAATTCTCTCCTATATGGCAGTGAACGTGGGTCAATTACTTTATATATGTAACGATAACTGACGCAGCAGAAATCATAAAAATTACCATGGACATTGTATGTAAGCAACGAGGAAGATGTAATGAAAATGTAAAAAAAAGCGACATTTATGTTTATCATCAGAAAGAGAGTATTGAAATTACTTGGTCATATAATGACAAAAGAGGTCTTGCATATTTTGACACTCTGGGGCATTTTTAAGGGAGCATACGTATTATAAGTTTGTTGCTAGATATGGTCTGGTGTCCCTGCAAATTATTTAGAGATATTTAATAAAACCCACAGAAGAATATTCAACGATATTGGTCCTGACCTGGCATACAGTCTTCAGTCACTTTCCTATTTCGGTAACGTAGCTTCCCCTGAGCGTTTTCCATAAATCCTGCCGTCGTAATTGTTCTGATGAAATTTGCTTTATGGTCATTTAAGCACAATATTTAGAGCAATGTCCCATCAATTTACCGTTGAAATGGCTAGATTAAACCATAATTTATTTGCTAAGAGTTTTTTCTCTAGCACTTGTGGAATTAACTCCCGGCTTCATGCTTTCCAGCCGATATTGATCTTCAAAAGTTTAAATTCAATGTCAATCGGTATTTTATTTTCTTGATTCCTCTGTTATTGTACTTGCTCGTCTATAATGTATACTTTTCTTTTACATTCATTAACCCCATTTGTCTTATAGCTTTGCTTGGGTTAAATGGATTTATTAAACACGGGGGAAAATCGCGTAAACTACTTAAGAGATTTGTGTCAATGAGCATGTGTGAGAGAGAGAGAGAGTAAAATGGAGAAGAATTTCGAGCGATTGGACGTTGTTGCGAGCCATGAACAGAATCGTCCTGAAGCAACGCAACATATAAAAGAAGAAAACGTTCACGGATGTCAACGATCTAGAGATATTTGAATTGATACAAATGTAGAATTTATTTTATTTTTTTTATTAAGAACCTCGATGAGAAAAAAAGAAACATCTCTCTGTAAATGGCTCTTCATTTTGACATTTCGTTGTATTACTTGCAGACATCGAATAAAACTGCAAAGACATTTTGCACGCTTTCAGAATGTGTAATAAATTGCATTTATTCAATGGACCAACTAATATCACGGCTACCATGTGATTTCTGCTTCTTATCTCATTGCTAAAGCTGGAAATGTGACCGCCACTCGAAACGAAATATGGTATTATTCAATCAAACTTGCATGTAGAAAATAGTTCAGTTAAAATCTATAAAGAAGTAGAAGAAAATATAATCGGAAAAGCTGAAAAGATTTTTTTCTTGTCTTGTCGCTGACTGATTCAAAAGTAAAGAGAAAGTAATACTTAACGAGTAATATAGTAAGAGATTAAGAAAAGTGGAAATAAATAAACTGGGTAATGGAGAAGAAGAGGGAGACCTAAAGCAGAGTGGGGAAAAGATAATTGTAGAGAAAAAATATATATATATATATATATATATATATGTGTGTGTGTGTGTGTGCGTCTGTATGTATATATGAAGATATATATATATATATATATATATATATATATATATATATATATATATGCATGCATATAGATAGATAGATAGATAGATAGAGATAAATATGAATTACGGGAAAACTAGGAAGAGGTAATTGACAGAGAGATAAAATGAGTGAGAGAGACATGAAGGAGAAATATTTAAAATGCTTTTAAAGATTGAGAAAAACGAAACAAAGGGAAAAGGCACACCGAGAGAGATAGAGTGAGAGAGAGAGAGAGAGAGAGAGAGAGAGAGAGAATCTCGAGAGAGGTAATAAAATAGTACAAAAGTGAAGAGCATACAAGTAGAAAGCGAAAGAGTGAAAGAGAGTAAAAAGATGGGGTAAGAGAATTTAGGCAGTGAAATGAGAACGAAAAACGAAAACTGAAAAGCATGATAAAAGACATATATAATGAAAGAAAGAAGGTAACAGAGAGAGAGAGAGAGAAAGAGAGAGAGAGAGAGAGTGATAGGCAGTAAAAAAGGTAGTGAGAGAATTTAAGGAGATGGAATATGAGAGAGTAAAATGGAAGATGAAATACAAGCAGAGTGAAAGAGAGAGAGAGAAGGAGAGACGAGAAGATTTAATGAGATAATTTAAGGAGAGAAATATAGGAGAGAAAAACAGAAAACGATAGTTAGTTAGATAGATAGATAGATAGATATGAAAAGAGAGAGAGGGAAAGAGAGGCCGATTGAGATAAAGAAAGAGCAAGGGGGCTAGTAGCATTAAATAGAGACAGAGAGATATTGAATGGAAATAAAACAGATGAAAACGAAAAATGAAAGACATATATAGAGAGATAGTGAGAGAGACATTAGAAAGACGGAGAGAGAGAGAAATTAAAGACTGGGAATACGAGAGAGAAAAAAAATCAAAAGTGAAAAGCATATATGTAAAAGGAGAATGAGAGAGAGAGAGAGAGAGAGAAAGAAAGTGAAAAAAGCAATAAGAAGCGCTTGAGAAAGAATTCAGAGAGAGAATAAAACCGGAAATAAAAAAAAATGCATAGAATAAAAGATAGTGGGAAGGAATTAAAAAAAAAATAAGCATTGTGAGAATTTAGAGAATGGAAAAGGAAAATGAAAAACATATATAGTGTACACTATTTACATTATTCGGACTATTGTCCTCATCTTTGCCGCCATGTTTATCATAACGTTTCAGCCGTTTTACGCTCCGGCCTTCTTCCGTTGTATGGAATGTCGAACTGAACCCTTTATTTCGCTCACTTAGGTAGACTGTTCTAGTTCCACGTGCTATGTCAAATGGATGTCTTGTTAATTCCGCTCTGAAATCAGGTATTGGACTAGCACTCTTTGATTCCTGTCAATGGATCTAACTAACGCCTTTATCCACTGTGCCATGTGTCATTGAGAGATGTAAGGTGTGAGTTGCAGTTTAATAAGGGAGTGGGAACTTCTAGACAGAAGTGGTAGTAGAAAGAAAAACGGAAGTTGAAATGTAAAGAGACAGAGAGAAAGAGGAAGTAGTGGTATCGAAATACAGAGAGAGTGTGTATATGAAAGAGAAAAGTGAATTGTGGATAGCATATAGAGAAAAAGAGGAGATAGATAGGGAGGGGGAAATATGGGAAATAAGCTAGAGAAAGCAAAGAAGAGATATGCTGAAATAAGTTGTGATTGAAAGTAATAATGTCTTAATCATTTCACCCCAAGAAAGGTAATGAAGAGACTAAGGTGCAAGTCTTATTGAGTCGGAAAGAATAATATAAAAAAAACCCAAAACGAAACAAAACATAAAGGAGCAAGGTTTATAAATGATCAGGCATTTTGGAAGAGCATTACCATGGACATTGTATCTAATGTTTTGAAAATCAATGTTTACAGAAAAGCAGGAAGTGAGTCCACAAGCAAGAAGTGCGGTGGCAAAGAAAGTGTCAACATAGATCAGCTGCAAAAGGAGACCTAATTGCCAATCTAGTATTTGGATTAAATTTGTAAAGTAGATATACAAGAGAACAAAGGCCAACAGAACGATTACGATAAAAATATTTATAGAAAAAAACATAGGAATGTTATGTTACGACCGTGTGACAATGACTGAAGGCGAGATGCCAGATCAGGACCAATAACATTAAACATGTTTCTTTGTATTTTATCAACAGTATCTAAATATATAGTACAAGCACTATCGGCAAGATGTAATAGTAATATTCAATGTAAGGACGAAAGATCGATTCAGAAAAATTACATACATATAAATATGAATCTTTATTGATTGTTTGGCTTTTTTTTACGGCTTATCAACCTTTTGCAGGTTATTTATATCCAGAAAATATTTTTAGATTGTATGAATCTTTTGGTGATAGCAATGATTGACTGATGCAAGTCCTACTTTTTATCTCATAGATAGATGGATCCATCATGGTCCAAGGGTACTTGGCGTATAAGGGAGTAAAAACTAACCCAACTGGAATTAGAACAGTGCTCACCCCAAATATATTAAAGGGAACAAAATTACAAATCACACTAAGAAGAAGTAAGAGATATATTTATTATAAAAGAACTAGCGTTGTAATCTCGAGAAAGGGAATATTAAAAAAACAAAACAAAAAAGAAACAAAAGGTATACATAGATATATGACTGAAAAGTTCATATGCTGACTTTGAACGAGTGATTCAAGAGATATGAAATATTGCATGCATAACATTTCAAATCTTCCTATTAATAACTGCATTGTTTATTTCTCGGTAAACTAACATCGAACATTTATAAGAAGAATATTCCCTCGGTTGGTCAAAAAAATACCACCAACTGCGGATATGACGTCATCATCACTGCGATAATGGTTCTCAGTCAAGTTTTGAATGTTTAATAAAAAGGAACTCAGGAGACTAGAGAGGATGATCAACCAGTCCAAAGGCAGAATCACAGATATAATGGAATATGCATGCACTTGAGTCCCCCCTCACTGGAATATGATTGGCTGGTGTCAGTCATAAATGCAGACGGACGTGTAGGTACGATAGAGTTTAAGTCTGTAACGACCCCCAATGGACTACGCCATTGGCTATTCTATTGGTCTACACTTAGTACCTGCGACTACGACGAGTGTCGGTCGATTACTGCTACCGTGTACTACTTGGTAACAGTAACCGAAACCAAGTTAGCTACTTCGATCAAATATATCCCTTTCCGGGACATATCAATCACACATAGAACAGCCAGTGAAACCAATGCCTTGTGTTCTAGAACATTGTTCTGTTGAAACAAATATTCCTACATGAGCTTTCCTGGTTGTTTTGTCGTGATAACCTTTCGTAACTGCCTCAGAAAGTTTGCATAGGTCTCTCCATCGACAATAAGAAATAGTTTGTTGCATATATATATATATATATATATATATATATATATATATATATATATATATATATATATATAATGTTTTCATTTTTCAAAACACGGTCAAGATATTTTGTCCATGTTCACAGTTGATATTATTAAATGTATTTTTTTGCTTGTATTAATAAAGATTTCATTAGTTTTAGTTTTTTGCATGTAGATGATGCTATTATATTTGTATTGTCTAGGTCTCCATAAATATTTAAATGAGATCTAATTGAGCCATGGTCAGAAAGGTGTATAGTGAGTCTTCGTGTCAAATATGTTGTAGTGTGGCCTATATAATTATTTACGAATTTTGATTGATCAGGAATACAGTTCCTTACTGGGTATTTCTTATTTAACAGTTTCATCCTTGAAAATGGCTAAATGTATAGCCGAAAGCGCTATGAATAAAAGAGTATTCGGACAGTTTTTTTATAATTCATCAACTGAAAAGAAAAAAAAATAGATCGCATGAGAAATTGTATTTAAAAACTAAATCAAAGTACCTTTTCTGCCGGTTCAGGGTGTACCTAGGAAGAACACAGGTGGTTCTAGGTCCCTCAACACCTGCTATATCCCAATCAGAGGCCTTGCTGCCGGATGTAGTTTATCGTCCTACACAGAACTACAAATGATGAAAGAGATGTAAGCAGAGAGAAAACTATAACGTGAAATTGAGATATTAAAGAAAGTTATTAAATCAGACAAAAAAAAAATGAAAGACGATAAAATATATTTACGAGGGCAATAATGCGTTTTTGAAGAAGGAAAAAAAATCTCTTTAAAAGTAAGAAACGTTACGTTTGACAGGAACTCCAATTTATATTCTTTTAAAAAGTCCAGTTTTTTCATCACCAGATACTAATCTGTTCAATACTGGAGAAGGGGATGTTGCCACCAGTTGCAGAGAAATACAAAAAATCCATTTTCTCTTTACGCTTGGCTTATATGAAATCATAAAGAACCCATTTTCCATGTTGATGTCTCGTTCTTCTTTGTTGCAGATGATACGGAAACATTGAATGTCGTGAATGAGGTTTCGGAACGACAGTATTTTAGATTTTATTATGTAGGTCAATGTTTTTGCATTAAAATGAAGGCCTGCTTCAAAGGTTGGTCTTTCATGGAAATACTTCCATTATAGATATTTTTCCAATCGACATATTTATATAACAATATAACATGCAAGTTTATCTCATAATAATTGTGCTGGTGGCTTGCTATTCCTTGGTGTCGACGCTTGCTCAGACACATTTTTGTGGCTACAATACTCATCAAACCAACCAGTTTATATTGCAACGGTGGTGTGCAGACCTCAGTGACAGTTTTTGGAAGAGTAATTTATTTGTACGTTCGGTCACAATGTCTTAATGTCGTGCTTGCACAGTCATCGTAGGGTTCCAGTTAGTTCCATCTATCTGATATAATTTCAATAACAAGTCTTTTGGTGACATCTGGTACCAATTTCAAACAAACGCAAGAAGCAATACTTATCTTTGTAATGAACATTATTATTCCTGAATCTCACATTTTTTTTTCATCAAGAGTGGCATAAAATCGGACCTCTTCACTAATCAGTGTTTTCTTATTGTTGAAAATGCTCATTATGTTATTCACAGCATTTGCCTCAGGGTACGAAACGCGTCAGCTAGGATGTATTTAACTCTTGTTTCTATATATATATATATATATATATATATATATATATATATATATATTTGTGTGTGTGTGTGTGGTTAAATTACCCAAATTAAATTTGAAGATAAAAGAAACTGTTTTAAAAATGATAATTGTAAAAAATTCTGAGTTCTGACCGACTGACGCGTTTTCTCAACGCATGCAATGAAAGGGAACCTTTAAAAGTTTTTGATTTGATATAACTATGGCGAAAAAAAATCAGTTTTCATTGCATACATACATTGAAAAAGTCAGAAGACAAAATCTTTCAGCAAGAACGTCATATTTAAACCATATATATATATATATATATGTGTGTGTGTGTGTGTGTGTGTGTGTGTGTGTGAAAATATATAGAAAATAGGAAGGAACTGGTTAGGTAAATAGTCCCTTAGTATTTTAGTTATTATTTTTAAAAAATAGTGCTCGATACAAAAGTAGAGCATAAATATAATTATTTATTTAAAAATATGATTCCAAATCGCGACATAAGAAGTCCCATGTTTCAAAACAAGAGCCGGAAACTTCAATATAATTATTTAAATTAATAAAGAATATCGAACATTTAAAAACCTATAGGTAATTATTATTTATTTCATAAAAATTATTTTCATTTCATAACAATTTATTTAATTTATTTCATAAAAAAAATTATTTCATAAAAATGGAAATTTAAGTGTTTGATATTCTTTAATGAATAATAATTTTACAATTTTTTCACGTAGAGCTCTCCTGGGATCTATATTCCCCTGTGAATTTCATACAGTTTACAATATTCTATCATTACTATATATATATATATATATATATATATATATATATATATATATATATATATATATATTAGCATACTATTAGATAGCCAAATTGGATTCATCGTTTTACTGTTGACTTACTTAGATTGATATAACCCTAAGTTCTAATCTACTTGTTTCTTTTCTCGCCTTTAGAAGTCGCTTGCTGTTTCTATGCCACTTACAATGTTCCCATATATAAATGCAACGCCAATCGCCATCTTCCTGAAG